GTTAACAGAGACTATTGTGCTACTTGCAAGCTTTTAAGACCCTGGGCACTATGCACAGAACTAGGAGGCAGAACAGACACTAAACATGTTATTAGGCCAATTAACTGGAATCTTCCATGAAATCATGACCTTAAGTCTCCAAATCAGGGATAACCCTTGAGGTTATTGGTGTTCCTAATTAGCCTCAGCAGCTACTCTTTCTTTTTTGCTGTTGTTATTTATACACAAGGACACCTCTGGGTAGACTTGAACCTCTGACTTTTTGGTTAACCATTTACACCACTTGAAGACTCCATCAATCAATATACACTATTTATTAATAATATCTTTAAAGCTACGATGAGAGTTACTACTATGTGAACATTTACGAAAGCCAAGCTCTCATCATAGCCATTGTTGTTGTTGTTTGTTGTTAAGGGCCGCTGAGTCGATTCCGACTCATAGTCACCCTGTATAGGGTTTCCAAGGAGCGGCTGGTGAGTTTAAACCACCAACCTTGTGGTTCAAACTGAACTTATGGTCAAGTGCTTATCCTACAGCGCCACACCAGGACTCCCATAGTAACCTAGGATGAAGGTATTATCAATCCATTTTACAGGCAAAAAACTGAGGACCTGAAAGGTGATGTGACTTAGCCAAAGTCACACACAGCACATTAAAATTGTTTGCTTTATAGAAAAACTCGTATTTTAAATGACAGAGAAGTACAAAGAGAAAAACAACAGATACTAAGTTCTCAATTATCTTATTGCTAGATAACCAGCTTTATGTAAATTCATGGGGAAAAAAAGTTGCAATATTTTACCATTTGTCTCCTCAGAGATAACTACTATTATGTTTCCTGTGATTTCCTATGTGAAGATTTCTACATACGGATAGCAGCATCTGAACAAATGGCCGTTCTAAAGATGCACTCAAAGTGGAATGTCCCTTATAGCCTCCCAGCACTCTGCTTTTGTGTGCTAATAAAACATCTTGGCTCTCTGCCTCTAGAAGCAATGTATGCACCTAGCTCTTAGGCCTGCCTCTTCTCCTACAGTGTGGGTGGTGAGGGCAGCTCTCATCCCCTGGGGCATCACCTTGGTGCCCACTCCAGGCAGGGTGCAGAGGGCCTTGTGAGCATCCTCGTAGGGGGCCTTACACAGTTGCTGTAGCCAAGGCAGTCCGCCGTGCTCTTCCAGGATGGCTTGGGCACTGGCGCTCACGTAGCGGGCACGGTAGCCCAGGCCAAGCTTCCGGAGGTGAGTCTCCACCTTGGGCCCTGCAGAGAGTGGGAAGGAGAGCAGGGGTCTGGTATCCTTACATCCTCCCTGTCCTCAGCTAGTGTGTGAGTCCTCTACCCTACAGGAATATTTTTCCTAAGCACCTTGGAAGACAATGGACACTTGTATGTACAAGGGAAAAGGCTAAAGATGTTTTCTGAGCACTATTATGTGTCCTAAGGAGCTCCAGGAGCGTAGCAATTACGAGTCAGACTGCGAACCTCAAGGTCAGAGTTCGAAACTACTAGCCATTCCACAGGAGAAAGATGAGGCTTTCTGCTCCCGTAAAGATTTACAACCTCAGAAACCCTCTATAGGGTCGCTATGAGTTGGAACCGACTCCAAGGCACACCACCACCACCACCACCATTATGTGTCCTGGTGAGGCGCTGGAGGATAACCAGCAGTCCAAACCCATCAGCTGCTCCTCAGAAACCCTATACAACGTTGCTGAATTGGAATTGACTTGATAGCAGTTAACAACAACTATGTGTGAGGCACTGGGTCAGGGACTGAGGAGGTGCTCCTCCATGGAGCTCTTACACTTTACGAAGGGCCTTCACACCCAGGACCTAAAACAGTGACCACACTGACAATAACAGCCTGTTATCAAATGCCGGGTGATGTGCATTGGTACAGCACTTTAGGTTTGTGGTTGCTTATGCTTCTCACAGAGCCCGAGGATAAAACGGTTGTGCTTCCCATTGCTTTTTTTTCCATATTCTTTTTAATGGTTGTGGTAGTCTATTCTTTGAATACACAATAGATTTAACTGGTCCTCTACCCCACTAATATCTAGGTTGTTTTCAGTCTTTTTTTTTTTTTTTAAGTTTTATTGTGAATTATGTGATAGCTTACATGGGAGAACATTAGTTTTACATTCATTCTATCGTATATCATTTCACTGCTATGGTTACAATCCTCTCCATGCATCATCAACCAACCAAAGGGTATACCCTGCAAGCCTGTCTTCCCACCCCCCCCACCCCATCCCCCGGTCTTCATGTGCTTCCCATTTAACAGATGGAGAAACTAAGGGTTTAGAAGAGGATTAGGGAACTTGCTCAAGAAAGGACAGAGTGGAGATGAAATCTTGGACACCAATGCATGTGGTTATAACTCACTATACAACCCTGCCTCACAACTGCTCAATTCTCCCCAAAACCCTCCTAGAGAGAAACTCTTATCTCCAGTCTCCAAACATACTGAGAGACACTTGCAGAAGCAAATGGATTCGTTGTGGTCTTGTAACTACTAGGATGGGAGTTAAGACTCACTGCTGGGTGCCTAAGTATCACAAACATGCTCTTTTCCACAGACAGCCTGTCTCCTTGGTCGGCAATCTCCAAGCATTTCCCTTGCTTGAACTCTCACACCTGTCAACTTTGGTACAATACTTGCCTCACCAGGCTGCTGTGGAGAACATGTGTGTTCATGGATGCAACATTGTTGGGTTCACTGCAGAGCTGACACCTTGAGTTTTCTGCATACTTCCTGGCCACCAAATACTGTGCTAGGTGTAATATGTACACTTTTTTCTTTGACCTTCATGACAATTCTGGTAGGCAGGAGCTATTATTATCCCATTCAGATGAAGAAACGGAGCTACAGAGGCTAAATAATATGCCCAAGGGCACTTAGCTAGAGGTCAAGTGGCAGTTACGACTCAAGCAGTTTGTCTCCAGGACCCTTACTGTTAACCCCTGCATTATAAACGGTATATTGTATATGCCTGTTGGCATTTTAGGGATAGTTTGAGAAGGTGAGGTGTAACTGGGATTGATCAGTGCAGACAAGGTGATTCTGGACAGGATCAGTATTGGAGAAGGTGAAAAGTTTTAAGGTGGGAAATGGTGACCAGGGAAAGTTGTTGGAAGGCCTGGGCGCGGGGGACCTACCCACTCACCAGCTAGGGCCTGCAGGCTGGGGAAGCTGTAGTAGGTGACATCGTTGAGTTGGATGAGTTGAGGTCCGAGGGCCTGACAGAGTCGCTCCACCATGCCAGTGATGCGGGGGATGTTGTTGTTGGAAGAACAGATGAAGGAGAAAAGACACTCGATGGGGTCCTGCTGCAGAAGCCGCACACCTGAAGGGCAGAGAGGTACAGAAACACCTAGAGGGAATGGCCTCTTCCCACTCAGAGATCTTAGGCATCAAGGCGCAAAGGGGATCCCAGAAGACAAAGGACAGTGTTGTTAGAGAAAGCAATACTAGGCCTCTCATTCTTCATAGCATCGGGTGAGGTCTGGGCTCTCTATTGTCCTATTCTACAAATAAAGACGCCCTGCGTAAGCACCAGGGCAGGGATACGTGTCTGTTTTGCTCATTGCTATATTCCTAGTCACCCAGCAGACACTCTGTAAATATTTACAGAATGAATGAGATATCTGCTGCAGGTCACACAGCCAGAATTTGTCTCAATAGCCTTGATAGGCAGAATAACAGTAGATATAAAAAGTTAAAAAAATATATATGTACATGTGTGGCACTACTCTAAGCACTTTACATCCTTATAAAATACTAACAGGGTTGCATCTCCATTTTGTTGTTAGCAAATGAGTCCATCCCAACTCATGGCATCCCCATGCACAATGGATGAAAATGCCGCCCCATGAATGGTTACAGATCCATTGTGAGCCACAGGGCTTTCATTAGCTAGTTAAGATTCCCAGATCTTTCCTCCTACTCTGACCTAGTCTGCTGAAACCTGTTCAGAATCGTAGCAACACAGGTTCCCACTGACAGACGGTGATGGCTGCCTGACCAGAATCCACCACACATGAAAGGTGACAATTCTATCACTTAACCAGCGCTTATTAACCTCCATTTTACAGATAGGGAAGCTGAGTCACAAAGTTAAGTAGCATGACCACAGTATAAGAACCCCAATTCCTGCCCCAGGTCCTGTACTCACCTTGGAATTTCTGGGCCACCTCTTGGAAGTGGGGGTCCACAGAAGCCCAGCGGTAATATAGTTGAGCCAGGCTGACATCCAGCTGAAAGTAACGACGCACGGCTTGCAGCTCCTTTAATGTGGGCTTGCCGTCCTGGCTGTCCTCCCCTCGGTATACGGTGCAGTAGAGCTTCTCCTCCGTCTGAGTCAGTGTCCATACTTGGTCCGCCAGCACGCCACTCCAGTGCGCAGGGGATTGCTCCCTCCACCTGAGACCCCCAAGGCACAGCCCTAGTACTATTTCCCTTTCTAGTCCCCCCCATCCAATAGCCACTCTATCTACAAAACCAATTTACTTAATGCAAAGCGAAAGTACTTTCTTGGGCATTGATTCTCTTAATCCGCACAACACTGCACAGATTTAGCTCACCACCTGTATCTGTTTTCTGTTTTGCATGGAGGTTTCTCTCGTCACCCCAGCATTTCTCTGCAGTTCAAGTATAGCCAGGATCCTAGGTTTCTCCTAGGTGCAGTCACTCACCTAAAGGACTGTCCAGAAGCCAGAACTAGGTCCAGGCGCAGCTCAGAGCGTGGACAGGGAATGGAGGCCCAGAGCGCTGGGGTGGAGGCTAGAGTACGGTGACCCATGCTATGGACCATGATCCTGGGCAGGAGAGAAAAGGACTAACATTTGCACACAAAGCTCTGCCTCCTAATGGCCCCGCCCACTCAAGACTAGAGCAACTCACTGTCAGACCCGCCCACAGGGACAGGCCTCCATCAATCTTTGTGTTCAAGGCCCCGCCCAGTTCCATTTAATTTGTCTTGTAACCTAGCAGTTCCATTTAATTTGTCTTGTAACCCTGCTAATTTCAGGGTCCGCAGTTAGAAACTACCAGCTATTCCGCGGGAGAAAGACAAAGCTTTCTGCTCCTGTAAAGATTACAGCCTCGGAAACTCTGTACAGGGTTGCTATGAGTCGGAACCGACTCCATGGCACACTACCACTACCACCACTCCTTGCAAGTTCCGCTTCTCACTCCTGCCCTCTGCTGTAAAGTGCCGTCCAGTCAAGTCCGACTTATAGCGACTTTGTACAGGGTTTCCGAGGAGCAGCTGGTTGACTTGAACGGCCAAATTTATGGTTAGCAGTCCAGGGCTTATCCTTAATGGGTCACACCAGGGCTCCAGCCTCTTGTATTTCTGGCGGTGCTGGTCCCAATCTGCCAATTTACACTACCATACCTCACTCCCAACCCATAGACCCTGAGCCACAGGAACTTTTGGAAGCATGCGCAATCGCATTTTCCGGTTTTGCGAGACAGACGTCATTGTCACCGGAAGTAGTACTGAAGCTCCACCTATCTGATCAAAGGAGCCAATCCGAAGAGGAACTAAAGCTGCGGGGTGGAGGGCAGGGGGCTGGAGAACGCCCAAGCGGTTGGCGCGCTCTTGACTTATTCCTCGTATGTGCTTTTCCGGGTCATCTGCACTCGGCACGCTAAGGTGTACTGTCAGGGCTGTCCCTCAGAACTGGCCGCTGATAGCCCTCAGTCCCGATCTTCACTGTCTGTTCTCAGAGCCCTTTTATTCCTCAAATGTCAGACCTCAGACACAAATTCTGCTCCCAGTCCACTTTTCTCCATCTCAGCTTTTCACCGCTGAGTCTCCTCACACCACCTCAACCATCTGCCCTCAGTGCCTCTCATGAAACCTCTTCACCAAGAATCAGACCGGCACACAGCTCCGTCCCTCCCGAGTGCAGTGTGCCCTCCCTCAGGATTCTGCCCTAGAGCTCACCAGTCTACCCTCAGAGTCTCAGTCCCGCCCTTCCTGTAGGCCTCCACCCACTGCCCTTTCGAGACTTGTGCAGAGCCTTCCTCTGGGACTGAGTCCAGACAAGCAGCTCATTATTTTCAATCTTGTTTTTTATGTCCCCAAAGAGACAAATGTGTGCCACCACTTGGGCCCGGGAAAGATGTATTCTGATTTCTTCCCTTCATGAAAATGACACAAAAAGCTGGGATATTAGAGACATGCACTTTATATCGCTGGGCCCTTTTTCACTTCCTAGCAGTGGTATTTGGTGGTTGTGTCTGAATGATTACAAGTCTTATAAGGGCAAGCATCTCTCATGGTGTCTACTATGAGCATGGGATGGTCATCAGTTTGTTTCACTCAATATTTATAAGGTCTTAGACAATTATTTTTTATCCTGATTCTGTCTTCCTACTATTTATAACCACCACCCCACAATAATGCCTAGCACTCAGAAGGCATTCCGTCAATAAACGTTGTTAGAATGGCACAAGAAGGTGCCAAAATTGGGGATGAATGGAAAAACAGCTTTCTACAGTCTTACTATGTCTTCAGCAAAGGGGGGATGGGTGTTGGTGAGCTGGCTGTAGTGACTCTGAAGTACTTGGACCATCCTACTGGCAAAGGACTTGAAGCATCTGAGGTCCAGAAAGGAAAGTGCAGTTGTTCAGCAAACAAACAAATCTGAGCTCTGCAACTTCCTGAAGATATGGGAACGTGGGCAACTTAATTTTCCTAAACCTCTGTGTCTTTGTAGGGATAATCATCCTATTATTAACCCACACATATTGATGCTTCAAAAAGTTCATGGAAAATCCCTATTATTTAATTCCATTTTTGCCTGAATTTTTTGAAGCCCCCTTGCACAGTAACTGCAAGGATTATGTAACAGTATGTACTATCTAGAGTGGATGGAAATGGGAGCGATCATATTATCTTTGCTGCTGTCTTATTAAATACAGCATGCACAGCAACCAGCAACCACTTGGGTCCAATTATTTACCATCCCTAGGGGACAGAATCTCTCTTTTGACCCCATCCCCCGGCAGAAGACATGAACTAAAATTCCAAATAGACCATTTATTTTCTAAGAATCAATATATTTTTCTTCCTTCGAAATAAATACAAACCAGTTTGAAAGGTGGAAGGGAGGTCGATGGGAAGAAGGGAAGTGGGGACAGGCCCCAGGCTTTTTGTTTTTGTTTTTTTGTTTTTTTTAGTACCAAATGACTCTGGCGCGACCCGGAAACGCAGTTACAAATGAGAATAATTTAAATTCTCCACTAATTACAGTATATACAACAGCAGGGGACGGGGTCACCTAGTGCCCCTCTTCTGGACTGGACAGACAACAATCCCACTGCTAGGCTAGCTACGCCAGCTCACCTCACCACTGGCAGAGGCCTCAGGCCTCTAGGCAGTTACAGATTCTCCTGGCAGGAGCAGAGAGAGGTGGTGGGATGGCCTGTTTTATGCAGTGTCCTAACCGTGGCCCACCACCATGCCCTATAATGCCATGAGGGCTCGGGGGCTCTTTCTGGCCTGGGGGACCCTCTACTTGCCCAGAGCCACCATGGGCCCTTGGAGTGTTCTGTACAGTCCAGCTGCACTAAGAGCGGGGGAAACCTCCCCCACCCAACTTCCCCTGAGACTGGCCCCAAGACCAGGAATGAGTCAGTGCAGAGGCCGGCGCCACTCCAGGACAGTGAGCAGAGGGGAAGAGAGAGGTCACAGGGCACTGTGGTTTGGGCCGTGCTGGGTAGCATCAGTCACTATCACTGGTCTCGCTGCTCTGCTCACCCTGCACCTTGCTGCGGTGCTGCAGAGCCCTGTGGTAGGCGATCTGCACTGACTTGCGGATGTTGGACTTGCGACCCTCCAGCATCTTCTCCTTGTCCAGGTCCTGGTTCACCCCTAGAGGAACCAATTTGGTCCTGGGCAGCCACTGCCTATAGAATGAAATGAAGATCAAATAAATTATCTCAGGGACAGCAACCATCACCAGCCTTCCTCACTCCTTCATTCATTCAAGCATACTTCCTCAGCACCAACACTGGGCCCGGTCCTATGATGGGTACTAGGGTCACAGGGGCCATAAGACACAATTCCTGCTCTTGAGAAACTTCTCACAGTCCGGTGTTGAAGAAAACCCAGTCAACAGTCACATTAGGGGGTACTTATGGGCATGAAAAGGAACAGCCGTGACCTAACTTGAAATACGGACCCTGTCCCATAGGCTCCAGGCAGACTGTACTGACACTTTACCATCAGACAATGAACAGAAAGGCTAGTCAATATGATAGAAAAGCAATTCAAGACTAAATGCTTAGGCCTTCTTTATCCCCATCTTGTCACCATGGAGGCAGAGGTGGGAAAACTAACCTTGAAGCCACCTGGGTCTGGATGGGGAGTCACCCTCATATTTGCCACAGTCATCAGTGGTCTTCTGGTTTCTAACTACAGCTCTTTGCCAGCTATTGCCCACAGCTTCTCAGACTCCTGGTTATAATCCTTTACTCAACGATCTGTTTTAAGTCTCTTCTCCACTGATGAGTAGACAGCCTTGTGTGTCTGCTGTTGGAGTTTCCCGCAACCACACAAGGCTGTATCTATGGCTATGGGTCACACCAAATGCTCCCCTGCTCCCTTACCAGGTTCGTTTGTTGTCAAAGAAGAGGACGAGGTAGAGATGCTCGCGGGCTTCCTGGGTCATCTGCTCCCCAAGTTTCAGCACCTCCAGTGGGGGCACAGGGATGGGAACCCCATGGTGGAACATACCCTCCCGGGGCATCTTTGGATCAATGATCTGAAGGTATAATAAGAGTCTGGTTTGGTTCAGTCCACTTCTCCCCCAAGGCCTGTCTTTCCCAAGAGTTTGGAGGGTACCTCTGAGAGGGCCAGAGAAAAGCTATGGCATTGTAAGGCTAGAACACTGTCTCTTGGCTTCTTCCTGTGCCAAATTGTTCCAGAGCCCAGGGAGCAAGGGGAACGGAAAAGGGACTGATAGAGAACTAAGTGGTACTCGGGTGGCATCTGCCTTAACAGTCTAGCTGCCCAGCATGCTTGTGCTCTGCAGTTCAGGAGGGGTTAGGAAGCGTCTGCTTACTGTGAGCCCTGCATTTTGGGATTGAAAGACAAGGGGCATTGAAAGATAGCAGAAGAGGAAGCCTACCAGAGCTGGGTACGATGGGTACCCTCGGCATTTGGCCCATACAAGGTCCAGAGCATCCAGGGGGGAGTCCTCATCTTCCGAAAGCCAGCCAGCTCCCCGGCCCAGACTCTTCCTCACCACTTCACAGGAATGGGAGAGAGGGGGCGGATCAGCAGCTGGGGGACCGACGAGGCCCTGACACTGGGTCCCAGGCAGCCCTGGCCTTGGGCGAGGGTACTTACTGCTGTGACCCACGCCACGGCCAGTGCCCACGGAGTAGGCCTCGTTCTCGGTGCCTGAGGTATCCTCACTGCTGTCTTCTGGAAATGTGCCCCGAGAGAAGGAGGGCTTGCCCCGGCCTTGTTTTGAAGGTGTTGTGCTGTGGGCAAAATACCGGGAGTTTAGCTCAAGACGGGAGGCCCAATGGATGCCTTCTCTTTAAGCCCCAAGGTCCTAGGCATTTGGAAAGTCAAGGCTACACAAGGAGTTTCCAACTCAAATGCTCTCAGGGGCCTGGTTTGGGGATAAGTGTGTGCCCCATCGATCGGCAGCAGCTACCACTTAGCCTCAACCTGATGCCACTTGACCACACTGGTCAGATTAGCCAGCCAGCCATTCTCATACTGTATCAGAGAACATAGCAATGGAGACTTTCTTCCATGGAATTTTCTGATTTGTT